GTGAACCCTTGATAATTTATAAATTATTATTATTTTGTCATGTCTTGCACTGACCGATGTCTTCCTTTACCCACTTTTCTGTTTTCCATCCCCCTGGGAGAGGGTTACAGGTAGATCATTGTGGTTGGTTCCCCCATCCTCCCCCCACCTTCCCCTTCCCCTCCTGGTATGGCTACTCTCATTATAGGTCCTGAGGGGTTTATCTGTCCTGAATTCCCAGTGTTTCCAGCTCTTATCTGTACCCATGTACATGCTCTTGTCTAACCAGATTTGTAAGATAGAATTAGGGTCATGATAGTGGGGGCAAGGAAGCATTAAAGAACTAGAGGAAAGCTGTATGTTTCATCGGTGCTATATTGTACCCTGACTGGCCCATCTCCTCCCCACGACCCTTCTGTAAGGGGATGTCCAGTTGCCTACAGATTGGCTTTGGGTTTCCACTCTGCACTCCCCTCCTTCCTCCTTCACAGTACCATGATTTTTTTTTTCTCTGTAATGAGTACATTCTTATCTAGGAAATGCATTGGTGTAACAGATGTAACATTAGAATACAGAATGTGTAAGGGTTCTGCATACAAAAAAAACCAAACTGAAACCTCTGTTTCTAGGATGGAGGCAACACTGATTTGGTGTCCAAGAACATTCTGGGTATTGGCATGCAGAGGAATAAATTAAACTCTTTTGAATATGTTTATGTAATACAAGTAATTTTAAAAGAGAATATTAAGATATTGTCATGATACGTTTAAAAGTGATTAATATTTCCAATCATTATCTTGACTTTGGGGAGGATTTTAAAACCTTCTAAAAATGCATGCAGAATTTTATTAGTGTTCGTGACAGACAGACATGAACACACAGTCTCAGCTTTACCTACTGTGTGTCCTAAGGAGCGCTAAAGGTTGCATGCTTACCTGCTAACTGACATGCTGGTATTCAAATTTCAATGCTGCTCTGTTGCATGCTTACCTGCTAACTGACATGCTGGTATTCAAACTTCAATGCTGCTCTTTCGGAGAGAAGACCTGGTGATTTGCTCCAGAAAAATGGTCAGCCTAGGAAATCCTGTGAGTTCTTGGGGCTCATTAGGGTCCCTGTGAGTTGGGATCAATAAGACAACATCTAACAGCAGTGCTTGTCCTAGCCATTGAGTCTCTGCTTAGTTATTCTTAATGTTGTTAGGGTGCCATTCAGTTGTTCCGACTCATAGTGACCCTGTGTGTAGCAGAGTGAAACACTACCCAGTCCTGCGCCGTCCTCACAATTGTTCTTACATTCGAGCCCATTGTTGTAAACCACTCTGTCAGTCCATCTTGTTGACTATGAGACCCTTTCTCTTTTTCATTGCCCCTCTATTTTGCCAAGCATAAAGTCCTTCTCCAGTGCCTGGTCTCTCCTGGCAGCATGTCTCGCTGCCCTTGCTTTTAAGAAGCATTCTGGCTGTACTGACTTAGTTATTTTGTTGTTGTGGTTCTCTGTTTTTTTCTCTGACTTAGTTATTATTACACTGAGAAATTTTAAATTTTATTATCCTACTCTGACTACAACTTTCCAGTTCACTAAGGAAATAACATACATATCTATATGCCATATATACTTGAGTATAAGCTGACCCAAATATCAGCCGAGGCACCTAATTTTACCACAAAAACTGCATTAAAATTTGCTGGAGAAAACAGCTTATGCATGAGGATATACGGTATATAGTTTCCTTGATCTCTAATCTGTGTCCTTCTTGATTTTGCTTTCTAATTGATACAGCTTAGAGTTTCTCATTTCATCTTTCCTCACCATGTTTTCATTACACATACTGCCCAGACTCTCCATCCAACCCTAGATTATTCTAAATATGTGCCTTTTCTGTGTCTGCAGCCAGGCTGTTCCTATTGAAGAAAAATTTCCCATCTTTGTAGCTAAGTCACTTTTAAAGTTAAAAATCTAAAATGTCCTTCCTGTGCTTCCTACTCATTTTCTTTTCTCTATTTCAAGCCTTTTAGTGACCTTATTCTCCCTCAGCAAAAAACTTCCTTTTCATTTCCTAGAAATATAAAAATATGCTTGCATCTTTTCCTTCGTTTTTGACACAGTGGAAGGAGGTGATCTTTCATTTTGTGCGAGACATGCTCTTCATTTTTACATCAAGTTCATCCCATTCCTTTCGTTTTCCTCATTCTCCTATAGGTATTTCCTTCTTCTGACTGAAAAAAGGCATTATGGTAATAGAAAATGATATGCAAAATTAGAGAATAGTGTAAGGAGTGAGTCCTTATGTATCCATTAGCCAGTAGTTACTCTGCAATCTTATTTCATATGTGTCCTCCTCCCAGTTTTCTTATTATTTCCAAATTATTTTGAAGGAAATCCCAGATTTCACTTCCAGATTTTTCACTGCCTAAGAGGAAGTACTTGTGTTGAGGGAGTACTTGAGTCGAGGCCCAATGTCCATCTGCAACCTTAATTCTTAACACATAGATATGAGTACATAGTTCTGTTCCCCTCTCGTTTTATATATATTTGTATATTTACATATGTACATGCCTGTATTTATTAGACCTCTATAAAGGTCCTTTGTCTTCTGGTTTCTTCTATTTCCTTTTACTTTCCTCTTGTCCCACCATCATGTTTGGCCTTCATTTGGGTTTAGTAATTCCTTGCTGCTACATTGGCAAGACAGTTCTTCTCTGGCAGTTCTTGTAATTGGCTGAATGACAATAGTTGTTGCTTCTTCTGCTTTTTTTTTGTTTTGTATTTTAGTACTTCCTGGAGTCTAGTGGAAATTCTAGCTACCTACTTTTTACCCAGTGTGATAACACAAACTAAGCTTTGTTTGTAAATTTGGAGATTTAAATAATGATTATTTGAGAAATACAGTAATTATTTGTTCCACTTTACTACATTTATTCTCATTGAAGTGACCACAATACCTTTTAATTGTTGTATAGAAATTGATTTTATGTGGTTCAAATTACAGAAAGCTCTGAAATGTTGTTAATAATATTTTGCAAAAACTTAAGTTAGAAAGTGGATTAGTGTCCGAGCACAAAAAAATCTAAGATATAATCTCATGTATAAACCGAGTTTTCCAGCACACATTAATGCCGTTTTTGTGGTAAAATTAGGTGCCTCGGCTGATATTCAGGTCAGCTTATACTTGAATATATATGGTAGCCTATTTAGTTACTTGTTTTTAAAAGCCTGTGCTTCTAAGGGACACAAAATAAATGGAAATAATATTAAGTTGGTTTCTTTTAAGTACATTGGTTAAAAGGAGGTCATTGGTGACTGACTTTCAACCTTAAAGTTTACATAGAGTTATCATTGATTTGTGTATACTTGTAGTAAGTTTTTTTCCTGACTTACCCTCAGCCCTACCCACTGTCATTTTGGCAAGTTAGAAAATTTGGTTTTTGTCTTTATAAAGGATTTGTAGTCTTCTAGAGACATATGTTACCTGAGATGTAATGAAATTGGTATCATTGTATCTGGCATGTGACATGGTTGGGAGTGGGGTAACAAAATACTAAATTAAAAAATTTTGCTGTTTGACCCAATCAACTATTAAAACCAATTTATAATAAGTAACATTTTATATTTTAGCATTGATAGATTTCCACAGTAGATTTAGAACATCATCTAATATTTGTATTAGCATCCCAGTAAACTTCATCCTTCAAATAATTAAATTAGAACTAGTTTAAATTTTAAGTGAAAGAAGTAGTAATGTTTTCTTTCTTTTTTTCCTTAGGTGGAATGAACCTTACTTGTTGAATATCTCCTGGTTACCGTTGGATTCACTTGTAAAAGGACCAATTTCCCCCTGTGTGGAAGCCACTTAGTGGCATATTTAATTATAAATCCAGGGGTCACAAAGCCTTTGGTTTCTCAGAAGAGGGAGATACCACTGTATCTAATAAGCTTAACAATACAGCCAAAATGGTGCTGTCCCAGAGACAACGAGATGAACTGTAAGTTATTGTTTGGTATTTTAAAAACAAAACCACTTAGAAGGGAGAATGTTCAAAAAAACCCAAACCTACTCCCACCGATTTTGATTAATAGCACCAAATTGGTAAACTAACCCTGCTTTGCCAAGATTGAAGCTGTTGTGTGTTTTTGAGACAGTTCTGGCTCACCCTCGAGGACAGACTAGAATTTCTTGGTAGAACTTCCCTGGCTGAAGTCTTGATGGGAGGGAGCCATAGGAAGTCCATGGTAGAAAAAGGAACGCCTCTTTACAGCTAATAACTTAGAGAACTTAAGCTATGAGGTGGCTACTTATGATAGTTAATGAAAATACGTATTGAGACAGACATGAAATGGCTTCACTGCAATATTACAGCATTCTACTTTTGTAGGTGAAGAATATATGTAAGTAAATGTTAGATGTGTTACAATGTTAATGGATTTTCTTTGAAACAAAGAAACCATAGTGGAGCGGTTTTAGATTTGCAATATGTTTCTCTGTGCTTTTCTTCCTAGGTGCCCATAGTATTCTCTCTCTTACTTTTATGTTCACTAAGATCTCTTACTTTACTTCTATCTTCTCTGTTCAAGAGAAGACTCGTTAGACTGAGAAGGCCAGAATGAACTTCGGTAAGAGAATTACAAACCTAAGATGAATTAAAGAGGTCTTAAGAGAAGTCTAGCTGCTTTAAATGAATTCAAGTCTTCTGCCTTAATAGCTTATAGCCCCAATTATTAAAGGATGAGATTTTTAAGAGGAAGAGAAGGTACTCATGTATGCCAGTGAGTTCAACTTTAACCTTTAAATTGTTATTCTTTATTATTATTGACCGAGCTTAGATTTGCAAGCAATAAATTAGACCAGACTAGTTTTCTTTTGAGATTTAAATAGAAACGTCCCATTTAAAAGTAGTATATTAAGATTTTTCTTTAATATCTGTTTGGTTCCTAATTCTTCTTGGGGCAATTTTGATAACATTTCATTGTTTGAGTATGTTACTTACCTGGTATAGAGGATGAGTCCTTTGCATAAAATATAGGCAGTCCTCAGATTATGAACAGGTTCCATATCTAAGTCTGTCTTTCTGATGAGTGTGTATGTATGTTGATTCATTTCCAATATTGATGTAAATTATTTGTCTTAGTGTATGATATACAGCATACCTTTCTAGTCATTAAATTTTTTTTTAAGACCTTCCAAATACACTAAAAACATCTCTAATCTATAGTAATGTTAATAGTAATATTTTGAATCTGATCACAGAATAACACCTGTTTGTTGTTAGGAATCACTGTATGTACCGCTAGTTTTTAATATGATAGGCTTTACCAGGGTAACTATGAAGTCAACCGTTTATAACCCAACGACTATGCCTGTATGTTGGTTATTAGAAAAGTACGAAATACCCTTGTAAATTAGAATAATCAGCCGCTTAAGATCAAAACAGTAGTAGTTACCAAAAGACAAAAATTAGGTGGAAACGAGAAATGAAAATAGGAAACACAAGGAGGAAAGAGGATAAAAGATGGTACATTGTGGGTGCTATAAAATTATCTGCTCTGTAAACCTTCGCCTAATTCACAAGAGGAAGGGTGTGTGTGTGTCCGTGTCCTTGTGGACTCACCCACTAGCATGGAGTTAATGCCAATTTATAACATCCCTAGAGAGGGTTTCCCAGGCTTCAGAAATCTTTGGGGGAACAGCCAGCCTCATCTTTCTCCAGCAGACGGCTAGTCGGGTGGAACTAGCCAGGCTTGTAATTCGCTCAGCTTAAAGTGCCACCAAGGCAGGGTGGGTAAATGGACCAAATGGCAGAAATAGCACAAAGAGTAGGTTTTGTCTAATGAGATGTTTGAATTGCTGGACTTTGTCTTGTTTCAACTTTTAAAATAATAGAAAGCACCTTTTCAATTTGGTAAAATTACACGAAGCTTTAAAATCAAATTGAAGTACTGAATTAGACTCTCAAATAGATGGAAAGATGATTTGACTGTAGATATGATGTAGTTTAATACAAGCAAACATTCAGATCTAGAATGTAAGGTATGACTTACGGATTTTAGATAGTTATGAATCCATTACCTTGAGCTGAATTATTTATAAGCCTCTTTAATTTAGATTCATTTTTAAAAGCTTCTTATTTTTCAAACTAGGATAGTGTATAATGAACTCTCCACTCAGTATAATTATGCACTGAAATATGGGTTGAATTTGTCTCCCCAAAATATATGCTGAAGCTCTAATCTTCACATCAGTGTATGACCTTTTTAAAAAGAGGTTGTTGAAGATGTTATTCATTAAGGTTAGGTCATTAAGATCTTGCTTTAAAAAATTTTTTTAAACCAAAACATTTTTTGGACATAATTTACTTATCACACAATATAGAGGCTTAAACACACTAAAAATGGTTGTGCGGTCATCACCACCATCAGTTTTAGGACATTTGCTTCATTCTTTTATTCCTCATTAGCTCCCCATGTCCCCTCCAACTTTCCTTGTCATAACCCTAAGAAACTATGTATCCAATTGCTAACTACAGATTTCCCTATCCTGGAGAAAAGCATACCCATTCAGAAACCACCACCAAACCCTCAGTTCAAAAGAAAGCAGAAAATAATTAAACTAGACCAAATTCACAGTGGGTCAAAGGGAAAACAAATGATACAGGGTTAAATTGTAACCTAACTACGTCTGTATTAATCCACTTTCCAATACACTCTGATAGCAGTGCTAGTCACATCCATAGCCAATGGTCAGAGGGAGTTCACTTGATCCATTGTGAGTTCCTGCAAATCGATTTTGAGCTTTTACTGTCATCCATAACCAAACCAAGTGCTCAGAATTCAAGCTGAAATAGATCTTAATCTCTTTGTAACTGGTGTTCTGATGAGGAGACAAAGACAGAATGGAGGCCAATATGAAGACAGACAGAGGGAAGATGGCCATGTGAAAATAGAAGCACAGATTACAGTTCTGTTGCCACAAGGCCAGGAATGCCTAGGGCTGCCAGAAGCTGGGAAAGACATGAAAAGTCTCCTAGAACCTTCTGAGAAATTATGGTCTTGCTGACTGACACCTTGATTTCAGACTGCTAGCCTCCAGAACTGTGAGAGAATGAATTTTTGTTGCCATATAATGAGTACTATCCATGGGGAACCCCTCGAGAATTAATGTAGAACTGTGTTCCACAGGTATAAACCAGAGCTGTAACCCTAAACTAAACCTGTTGCTGCTAAGTCAATTTTGACTTAAAACATTCCTTTAGAATAAAGTAGAACTGCCCCATAGAGTTTGCACGGCTGTAGTTTTTACAGAAACACTGCTATAAATCCTCCCAATAAAGGGCTGCTAGCGTGAGTTGAGCGACCTTTTGGTTAGCAGTTGAACACTCCAGGGCTCCTTCAAACTCCATAAAGCCAAACCTCAGCCGTCAAGTCGATTCCACTCACAGTGACACCTTCTTCTACAGGATAGCCATGACTAATATTTACCAGCACAGACAGCCTATCATTTCTTATGTGCAGTAGCTAATGGGTTTGAACTGCCGACCTCAAGGTTAGCAGCCCAAATGCGTAAGTACACAATTCTTAGAAACTCAGACCAGTGAGAGAGACTGGCTTAGAACCCATTTCATGACTCCTCATGTTAGTGTCACTCATTAATAGACTTTAAAAGTACATCTAGAACATTTAGGATTATTTGAAGTTTTTGTAAATAGAAAAAATCAATATAAGAAAATACAGAAAAAGAAAAGAAAAAAGAATTTTTCCAGATTCCACCTGTAGGCAACTCAGTGTCACTATTTTGGTATATACTCAGATTCCCTTTAGATTTTCCAATCTCACTATTGTTTTTATTGTTGTGTTTATGTAGAATGTAATAATTTAAATCATATAACTTAGTAGATAAGAGCTTTTGGAGTCAAAGAAAACAGCGCAGAGGGCCACAGCTGATCTCCTTCGCTTCCTAATTGCAACATGATACGAGGTCAGGCACCCTCGTCTCTACCCTCTCTCTTTTTATAACCTATTCTGACACCAGCTGTTCCTCCCAAGACTCTACTGCGCTGGGTTCAAGCCGTTGCAATAACCACACAGATCTTACAGATAATACAATTAGGAAGGTTTATGAGGGAAGTTAACAGTTTACTACAAATCAGGATTATTAAGGATACAATCCTTGATCTCTTTCCACACTTTGAAGCGGGGTCTACCTGGTCCTCGGTCTCATAATGTGTTCCTTTGTTCTCATTCATGGTTGCAAGTAGCCTTTGATGACTCCTGGTGGTCCTGGGATTTCTTTATGCTTCTAGGATAGCTCTTACAGACAGAGAATGGCTTTGATGGAGATGTGATTTTTGTCTTTCAGCATATCATATCCCCAAGGAAACAAGGCCCTAACTTGATTCACACTAAGGTGGAGATGCAATCCATTCCCATCTCACCCTAGTCTTACAGCAGAGCGCGCTCTCTAAGATGGGATTATAGCCGACAGGCAGTGTTTGAAATCTGTAATACATCACATAAGGAATTAGAGCTAGAAGGGGGGGCCATATTAATTGAGTACATCTCAGTTTGAATTTAAACAAGTCACTTCTCAGTCCATGTCCTCATTAGTAACTTAAGGGTACGTTGTCCTAGGGTTATGAGATTGGTAAAGAACACATGTGGAATGTTTGGCATGGTACCTTATGGTGACGTATATGTCTCTTAAGGCTTGGCTGCTTTTGCTGTGGGTAGTATTCCGTTAGCTGTTTTTAAAGCTTTACTGCTTATTTTCTTATAAAAACAGGAAGTGAGTTGTAAAAATCAAAGTACATATGTGTGCATATAAAGTTGTATTCCTACAGTTGATAAAACTTTTTGTTTTAAAGTCACTGTGAGTTTGTATGTTTGTGTGTATTTGTTCTACCTTTTGTTCTTTGCAAATTGCCTGTTCATAGTGTTGCTACTTTTTTTCCTATTGGGATGCTTATATTTTTATTGTTGGTTTCTAAGAGGA